TCGGAATTCGACTGCGTGAGGTAAGGGCTTATCGGGACTGCAGTTTATCGTTCTTACGATATTGTTGCTCGTATTGGTCGGGATCCTATGACTGATGGATCCGCAGTGGGTCATATTAAATATTTAAACGTCACCAGAGGTCACTTTCCTGATCTTCTCAAGGAAAGTCTTTCAGTGTTTTAATTATCACCCCAGAAGACAATTTATTAGGTTATTGAACACTATGTAAGATCTTAGAAACCCCATGCTAATAAAACTCGAGAGGGCATACATTTTATCTTCTCGGCCTTGTATAACTATGTCATGTACCCGGAGTCAGGAACTTGGCTCGTTTTCAGAGACACACAGACAGTTCAACGAAGTCTGCAGCACTACTGGCTATTGACACGGCAGCACTTGTTGCGGCTACCTTTGATGCTGCGGAAGAGACAAGCATACCGATAGTGATGCAATGAATGGCGACAGGGGGCACAAGAATTGCACCGCATCGTCTTTTCAAACCAATCGCTTTTCTGGGTAGAGTATCATTATGGAAATGTCCGCTTATAGAGTCATGAGGAGAATGAACTTCGTCAGCTTGCATCCATCATAGACATAGGGCGCAGTTTCTGGCGTGATGGTATAGATGACATATGGTACACCTTCCAGTCACTTTTTTATTCAGATCACCGGTAGTTTGGATAGACCTGTTATTACTAACTATTTAAATCCCGTTGCTGTGCTCTATTTTCGAAACCTGCATCATTTTTCAACAACATTATGTGGTATTAACCACATAATGTCTGTGGTACCCTGACCTTCCTTGATATATAGGAGATTCTACTATTGGTATGGTCATTACGTTCCCCAAACGCTTAACTATTGATAACTTATAGTCACGGGTTGCGGACAAACTAATAATAGTAAATTATGAGAGCGTACTAATTTGTTAAAAGCTTGCCTAAGATAAAATCATACCAAATTCAGCTTTAAGTTAGGAGTTGATTTATTAGAAAATTATTACTTATTTTGGGAGAGTCCGGAAACTTTGGCTTAGTCGAAAATAGTAATAAATTTTAGGCCATTCCTTCCGTGCAAGAAATTTTTACAACTTTAGCCAAATGCACTCTTCGCTTAAAATTTAGTACGACTGATGTTCCTAATCTGAAAAAATTACAATGGATTTTATATTATTCCAGGTAATGAAAAAGTAATTTATTATTATAAAATTAAGGAAAAGGAAATATAATGACTACTAACAAAGACGTAACTTTTTTATCCATTTTGTATGATTATAATGATATGTTTTAATCAATAAGAAAGGAAATAAATGTAATTTAAAATATATTTGCTTTATGAAATCGTAATGTTTAATTCGATACACGTAAATGAACGCCATGATTTAAAAAGGTTTTTTGATATTTCTGCATTTTCATAACATAATAAGTAAAAGAAGATCAAATAAATATAACTACTAATGACAGAAGCCAGGAATAATTTAAAATTGGCTTTAATTTCTTCTAAATAAAAAGTTATGGTACATATATATAAACTTATGTTTTCGTTTTTGTTTTCCCATTAACGAGTCGTTTTCCAGCAATAAGTTCCTACTGTCAGTTATTCTATAAAAAATGAAAGAATGATTTGAAAGCACTGAGGTTTTTGTTGAAAATGTCTCTCGCAATTAAAAAATACATTAATTTCACTTTACGTTTCATTATTATGTGTTTAAACTCAATCTTATCAAATGTTTGAAGTAAGGCTTCGTTTACAAAATGGCATTTCGGTATAAGAGGCATAAGCTGAGTTCTTTTGCTAGGCAACACTAGTTTAAGAGTTTTGGCTAGAAGATTTAACTTTTCAAATTTATGCCAACTTGGTATTAGAACCGACCGATTATAGCGAAGCATACACGAATTGATATTCGAGCAACTGTTTCGCTGGGTCAGCTACATATTTACGCATAAGCGGCTACACCTCACTCTACTGGCAATGGTTTAAACCCCTGTTAAACAAGTATGAAAGGATTTAATGACTTTTTTGATTCCTTAAACCACAAAGCCTTCTGATCGAAATCCTTCGTTTGAATGAAGTCTTAAGGTTTATTTTATTCCAAAGCCATGAAAAACATGAACTCTAACTTGTGGATAGGTAAAACCAAAAATGCACAAAAGCGTTAACCCTTTAAACAATAGTCAACGAAATGAATTTCATTCTGCAGTGGTAAGCAGTCACAGTAAGAAGGGATCTGAAAAATATTTCTCTCTCTCTCGGTACTCTTTCCATGTGGCTTGAAATCTGTGACAGAGTTCATCAATCAGAGTGGCTCGCGAATGATGACGTTCCAGTTTCTTGGCATCCAACCCCCAGATGGTCTTGATGGGTTATAAATGTATAGAGCCTACTAGCCAAACCGAGCATCCTCTGTATCACAGGCAATAAGCAGTTTGCATTATTTTGTTAAAAGATGGAATCACGTAGACCTCGAAGACAGGGCACATTCACTCGCTTTAACCCATCAGAAATGCAACGGGGGCTATCCACATTACCAACTAAACTACATCCAGTGCAACAAACCCAGTCGTGAATTCTTGAAATGGGGTGCAGAACACATTTATTTTAATGCAACTCAAAAACTCATGGCAAAACGTCAACGCAGATAGGTGGAACAATACTTCGTCCAAATTAGGCTTAGCATTGAAGTAATTAAAACACATATTATACATAAAAAGAGCAATACAAACTGATTTTCTTTATCAAAAAAGGAAACGCTCACACATAATAAGCAAGATGCATGCCCAACCAGTCACTAAATGTATCCAAATACGAGCAAAAATACACAATATGCACTGCTCAGCGAATACCACGCGACGCTGACCGCGAAATGCAATACGGTGTTGATTGCATTGAAATAAAAATGGGAGAACTTAAAAGTGCAGACTAAATCCAACTTTAAATTTGTATATACATTTTAACACCAGTCGATATGATTAAACGAAGTTAAATAATAAATAAATAATATTGTATAAATATTAAACGAAGGTGAATCAATTACTATTTTATTGTTTTATTTGACAGTATAACTGAAGCATTGCGCTTCAGTGAGGACATATTCTCATTCTCTTTACCTATTCTAATATAAGATAATTGAAAATAAGGTATAATGCGTGAATGAAAAGAAGTAGGAATTACATTTAAATATTTGCACTTAAAACGCATTCTTAAAACAACCAAAAAAAAAAAAAAAAAAAAAAAAAAAAAAAACCTGCCTAGCTCTCTTCACTAAAATGAGCAGGCGATGGATATAACTTTACCTTAATTGATCAGTATCTTCCTGGAATTTCAAACAATACTTGATAATTTTTGTAATTATACAGGAGACGAATCTGTACTAACATAATTCTTACTTTTTTAAGTAGTGAAGAAAATCTAATACTGTCATATTCGTTTTCTCCGCACTACTGAATTTACTATTCGGGATTATTTAGGCAGCTGATTTTTATTACAAGATTATAGGAACTTATTACACATCATATGTAGAGACATTAGGTTATTTCGAAAACAGGAGGTTTGAAAAATGAGAAACACCTTCCACGAGAATCGAACCACGGACCTCTGGAATACGTTCCGAAAGTGCAGACCACCACACCACGAAGGCATAGTATTGAGGCGGGAGAAATACATTAAATACCCCCTTTTAAAGGGCGACTGGGGTTTTTAGGGGACCCAATCGTCAAATCCTGGTTTCGAGAATCATCATCTACCACCCCTTTAATTCGGACGCCAGATGCCACTTGTAGAGACATTAGGTTATTTCAAAAGCAGGAGACCTTGAAAAATGAGTAACACCTTCGCTGTGAATCGAACCACGAACTTCTGGAATACGCGCCCAGCGTGCACACCACCACACCACGAAGGCATGGTAGGAAGGCGGAAGAAATACCTTATAAATTAACTGAAAGCAAGTTACGTATTATTGCGAAATGTCGATGCTGGTGCCAACTATAGTACAAATGCTATCCTTCAGTACTTGCGCAGTTGTCCGGTGCACGTTTTATTGACGAATACAACCACGAAAGTACTGGGAAAGGAGGGGGGAAGTATCTTTTATGTATATATATATATTATATATATATATATATATATATATTATTGGCTGGTTTAGTTTCATTTACATCATCATAATTACGTAAGAATCATATGACATAGATTTGTTTACATAATTTTAGATTATTAGATTATTGCATTATTTGATTTAATTTACGTAATTAAATTTAATTTACATTATTATATTTAATTATCTTATTTTACATTATTATATTTAATTTAATCTTTTACATATTCGTTATTTTTCTTACATATTCCCTCCCCTTCAAAAGATGAAAAACGCGTAGCGACAGAGAAGCCTCTTTTAAAGAAAAAGTGGTTAAAGCACTAGTAAGGAATATATATATATAAATCATACAAAATTTTGATCCTGTAAAGTATAATTTATAAATATCAATTTTTTTTAAATAAATTTTTAATTTTTAGAGTCCTATTGAATTTTTCAGCATTTCAGTTCAACAGTCTTATTGTTTGAGAGTTCACATAATCATAATTCTTCAGGTAAGGTTCTTGTTATCACAGAATATCACAAAATAAAATTTTACATAATCATTATTTATAATTAAATGTAATGCACATAAATATTTATGACATTAATTTCCATACTGATAAATTATATTTTAACACCATAAATACAATAGGAGTTACAGTTTCAGAAATTATGGTTTCACCGCTATTATCTTTCATTTACAATTCCTGATTTTACCAAACTGGAAGTCCTCTCAATACTTCTAAACAAACATCCATCAATAGGGCTATCCTCTTGAGCTAAGCAGTGCATTGGTGGCCCAGGGTGCCTAGGCAGTTACTTGAAAAGGCCTCCGTTCCATGGATAAGGTAACTGGCCTTTGAGAACTGCATTAATACATTCCACAATGAAAAAAGTATAATAATATTAAAAAAATTTCACACAGTGATGAAATGAGAGCCTCCAACATTATCTTACATGAAGAGGGTAAAAAGAACAACTGTATAGAGGTAATTGCTGGCTTTTGTTTAAGAACTTCCCTCAATATACTGTATACTTAACATACAATCATCCATAAATTTTAACATGCACTTACCATAATTTCATATTACTTATCTGAACTAATTTCACTTTATTTTTCACATCAACTTCACTTTTAGAATAATTATAAAATTCCTATTCATAATTTTCAACAATATTTCAAAAATATAAAAACTTATCTTAATAACCTTCCCTAAAAATAATTAAAAATCTAAGAATTCTTTACTTACTTTTTTAAATTATTAGAATTCAAATTTCTAATATCATTAAATTATATTTTTTCATATCACATTGTTACATTTTTAATGTTCAGTTTATTACAAGAAATATCAGTTCCCAATGTTACCCAAAAGCAAAAGCGAATATCATTTTCTGGCACGAACTTCAAGTGTAAATGTAATCCTATAACTGCGGAAGAACAACCTAATTTATTCGCAGAAGAGCCATATTAAGGTACGCAGTTCGATGACCTTGAAAGCACTGGAATGATTTGAAACGTTAACACTCGGAAAATATTCGTCATTTTACTATAAACGAACGCTGAATTATTTTTGAAAGGCTGACACTACATTTCTATTATTCAATTTTTTTTCACATTTTTATATTGCTGTTGAATTACGTTGCACTTATTAAATCGCCACATATGCTATATTAAATTTCGAAAGCATGGATTTTAACTTTAAATACACTTGTTTTGGCACGATTGAGTAGTTGACTTGCTAATTCCAGGTTCCATAAAAAGAGATATCTTGACGATTAAAACATGAAAGCATTAAGTAACTAATTCGCTTTCACAATCGTGGCCACAATTTCGATGATAATACTTCTGTGAAGCACAGGCGCACTTTCATGATGTAAAACACATTTGTTTCCCTAAACATTTAAGAGATGGCTGTACACTTCGTTTTCACTAACGTTAGCACTTTTGGATACTCGATATACATTATGAATTTCCGTTACATATGGAAGTTTGAAGAGATGGTTGGTTATTGTAGACACTGCGATGACATTTCCACTGGAATTCTACCGCACAGGACATGTGTCCTGTCCACTCAGTTGTAATAAATTCAGGAGCAAGAATTTTGCAGATTTAAATCTTCACTTTTACTTCCTTGTACGAAGTAAAAAGGAAGTATTGTAATCGCGAAAAGTTTGTGCACCTCGTATTTTGGTTGCAATCGGCCGCATCAAACGTATATAAATATATTTATATATATATCCACTCTGTTACCCGGCTCAGTGATCTCAGTTTCTTTACTCTTATATGTTTGTAAATTGTGCATTTTTTGCTTTAAAAATGATTGAATTATGTTGTTTTTATCTTCCGGTTAAGGATTTTAGCCTTTAGTAAATCTGTGTGCAATATTTTTAGAATTATCAGCAATTTTAAAGTTGTTTAATTGCCGCTAAGCCTGTTTTTAATGGCGGCCATTGATGTTTACATTTGAAACAGGAGACTAGTGGATTTGTTGCCAATCTAGAGAAACTTAGCTTCGCAAGAACAAAGATAACGCATTCATTTATTATTGAAAATTAAATCATGCTTAATTCTTTCTGGAATTTTTTCCAGGAAATAAGCGTTTGAGATTTTTTACTTCGTAATTTTTAATATAGATATTTTGAGTTTTTATGTATTTTTGCCTTCTCGCGAAGTGAGAACTGAATTAATTAAATGAGAAATACTCAATCGTCTGTGAAAAACTGTTTCTTTTTCGTTTTGTTTGCTTAATTACTTTTATACATAGTTCTAGCTTTATTATAGTATTTGAATAGAACATGTGGCAACGATTAGATGATTCTTTAAATGATATACATTTTGTGCATTCTGAGTTATAATATGAATAAAATATAATACTGTTAAGTAAACCTAGCGCCAGAGTGTCGCTATGGTGAACAAAGTGAATTTTAAAGAATGCATTTATTCTATTGTGGTTTATGCGCTGTCGGCGAAGTAGGTTTAATTCAATCTAATAAGTTTAAATAAAATGCAAGAAAAAATGTGTATAATTTAATATTCCGTACAAGGAATTCATGTGGTGTACACATCAGATTTTTTATTTTCAACATCATGTTGCGGCTACACACAAGTCGCCACATTAACTGTGCCTGTTCCAACTGACTTACATTTTTGATAATTTTTTAGCAAGAAAGAAGCAACAGACAAACAGCAGTGTAGCTAGGCCAAAGCGTGGAAAAGCAAGTGCGTAATATCCAATCAGTAAATTCAGTAGATTCAGTTTATTACAAGAAATATCAGTTCCCAATGTTACCCAAAAGCAAAAGCGAATATCATTTTCTGGCACTAGTAATCTATCTAGTAATGTTCAGGAGGATATCTTAAGTCAAACTGAGTTAGTTTTGGTTCTCAAAGTATTTTGATTTGACCGTTACTATTGCTCTAAAATTACTATTGGCTGGTTTAGTTTCATTTGCATCATCATAATTACGTAAGAATCATATGACATAGACTTCTCTCGAAATGACTCAGTGCAAACAGACGTTGCTAATATATATATATATATATATAACTGATTTTTAACGCAACCTAAGATTTACTTTCAAATAGAATCAGGAAATTTAATTTCCAACATAAAAATTACTGTGCTTCAAGTTTGAGTTATATATTAATTCGAACAATAAAAAGAAAATTATTGGAGTATCAAGAATAGTTGAGTGAATGTTAAGACTCGCTGAGTACTGAAGTTCCCTGACTAAGAATTAAGATTTCGAATTATAAGATACGAATACTCAGTAAGTCACTACTAAGTGTCACTGACGGAATATTAAGACTTACTGATTGGATATTACAGTATCAAGCCTACTGACACCGTGAAATAAAATATTTGATGTTACCAAAAATTCATCAGAACAAGCACGCCATTTACTGTTTTAAACCACCTACTTTCTTAGCAACTAAAATAAAAAGACGCGAACTTGCTTCAAAGCATGAGAACTTCATAAATGTTTTTTTATTATCAGGTATAAAATTATTATGGCTTTGGTAAAAGAGTCTTTCCGTTTTGTCATTCATTGAAACTACTTCATTAACTATCAATTCAGTGCATTTGTTATAGTAACAGCCACATTACAAATCAGAGAACATATCTTGGGATATATTGTAGTAATAGAAGCTTTATATTATTAAGCAAAGACAAATGATGAAAACAAATCTGACATAATGTTAAAATATTCTATTAATTTAAAATTCTGTTATGTCAGAATGTATACGGATGCAGCTTAATGAAGAAAATACGTTTACTTTATATTCATAATTAATTGTTATATATAATTTATAAAATAGTCAATTTTGAAACTAATAGCTGTTATGAACATTTGATAGATACAGTATGATTCATTTTTATACAGTTCTTCGTAAACCTGAGTTGAATTTTCAGTAAATTAATAGCAGATTCTTGGTATTGAGAAACCATATTTATTTCATTTTCTTTAATGATGTCAACAAGGTTGACTTCGTCTAAAGAGCAGAAATCTCTGGCATCTTTACCTCTCAGCAACTCTCAGGAAAGCATACTTCGTTGATCATTAGGTTAGGCTAGATTAGTTGTATATGGCAAGGATCAAAAGTTCTATTTGCCTAAGGGAAGGTATTCCTTTGCAGGGAGTATTTCAAGAAAAACTTGCTTCTTTGACGCTGCATGCGGGAAAAAACGTGAAAACCTTCTTCTGGGATCGAAGCCGAGTCGAACTCCGAGAATCCAGCTGTCTAACTACTTGGCCTCTGTGGGATCGGCCATTGATCGTTGGTCATGAAAAACTTTCAGTCTTCCATGCTGAAGAGAGTGCTCATTTGCTTGTCATAAATCATTTTCTCTGGGGAGCAGCGGTGCTTAGAATTTATTAAGCCACAATATGCTGCTAGTATTTACTAGTATATCTCCTTGCTAAATTTGTCTCTAACCTTTTGTATTGGTAATTTTTGATACAGTCATAATTACTTAGGTTATTTATTAGCTCATGTTTTTTCCACAGAAAAAAAGAAAGACATTTTGTTTAGCCCTTAGAAGCAATACATCTAACGTTTGAAGTTTGGGGTCGTCATGAAAATGTCCGTACTGAAAACCATGCGGCGTTAATAATTATTTGAAGGATTTTGTTTCGGAAAACCTACAGACTTTTCCTGTGTAATTTGGCTGCTATAGCCCGAAAAGGAAAGGCACATATAAAGAGACTAGCTTAGAGACGACGATGAATCTCTCATTTTATATGGCAAATTTAGTTTGACATCCAAATGATGAACTAAGGGTGCTTTAATAGCTCTTGAGATATGTTATTTAAACAAAAGCTTTGTGCCCAATATGACTTCAAAGTATTTAAAGCTTTCGACATGAGGAAAGATATGACCCTGAAAATAATACTATGGTCATTCACTTGCCTTTGTGCTGACAAAAAAAATCAATATCCATGTTTTGTTGGCTTTAACTTTTATTTCCGATTTAAATCACGTTCTACACTGCTGATGGCTACTTAGAGCATGCTTATTGCACTTTGCATTCTTAAAGAAGTTCGTTGTAATAATTGTGCCGCCTGCGTATATTCCTTTCGTGATTTCAGATTTCAGCCAAAAGTCATTAATGTATAAACTACAGAGCGTTGGTCTCAGTAAGGATCCCTAGGGAGCTGAAGCTATTATTAGCTCGATGCCAGAAATAGTTTCGGTCATTTTACTTAAATAGCCTTGGTAAAAGATTCTGCCTTTAAAATTTCTGCCTTTGAGATAATAATTAATCATGCGGATGAGAGAAGGAGAAATATGAGCGTACGAAGTTAGAACTCCAGCCGATCGAAGTGACTGAAGTTCCTCGCACTAGTAATAAATTCGAGAATACTGTTCTGCATGATTACTAAATACTATTTTGTGTGCGCAAATTCGAGAAAATGCTATAGAATGTAGAAACTAATCTCTAATTATCATAGAATTACAATTCGAATGCTCGAAACTAGTTTTTAA